TTAAAATGCTACAATGCTGCCAGATAATTAAAGTTTCCAATGTGTAGTTACATTTTTTGGCAGCAGAACAGGAATCCATAAGTTGAACTTGATTGGACCAAGATAATAGTTTGACTTATATAGCATACTAAGGTGTTCAAGAAAATTCACCAGTCTTTTTTTTCTATCCAGGACTCGGCCATATCTGTTAACCTACCAGTAGAAATAGTTCTATAATGAAGTGTTTTTGTTTCAATTACCTACAGTTGTTCATAGTTTTTGTATTTCAAGAAGATTTTCTAATAATTCATAACTACGCTAATGCATTACACTGATAGGCAAATTCTTATCTACCTTGTTTAGTGTACCTTTCAAGTGTCCTTATAATTATATCATAAGTCTAAATAACTTATACTTCAGAATTACATGCATATTTTACAAAATTCTTAAACAGTGGAACTCTTTTTGATGCAATTGTAACAGCATTGTTGTGTTAACCCTTAACAGAAAATATTTAACCCGAAATGAAATGGAAGAAATTCAGTACATCATTCTGGTAGACACACACTGCATGGCTTGAACCCATAACCACAGACTTATAACAGAAACCTGACCCACTAAACCATGTATGTTGCTGAAGCTGCTGGAATCATTCATCAGACAGGACGACTGTTAGGGCACAAACTATGAAGGATATATATCAATAGACCAATTAAGCTGCGGAGGCGGCATACACTGCTAGACCAATTCACCATATCATTTCTGTTATAAAGACACTGACCCTAGAAACCTTACTATGAAAGCTACAGACGAATGCCAAACACAGAAAAGTCAACACTGTACAGAGCAAGTCTAATCCATTGTTATAGCCCCAATATAACATCAAGCACCAGAGTCTGCAGTCTCAGACTTCCAGACTCGATAACCGCTGGAAATATGACGTAGACTTTGGAAAGCACAAAGACTTTCCCATAGGCAGTACCATGAATACAAGGCACCACAATCTCATAAAATCAGAGCAAGTGTACGCCAGCACCAGGTAACAATCTTATTTATACACGCTGAGCTATTTTCAAGTGACTGTGTGGTATCATCAGCAGTAATAAAGCCGTGATACTGGTCTACCCAATGATAGACGTCACTGATGGAAAGTTAAAAAGTGCAGATTCTTTCTATTTCCAGCCTCTGATAACTGATATATAAAATAATATCAAATGAATACAATCTCATCATAAATAATAATCAGTCCTTTTATACTGTGCAATAACACTACCCCATACAAATTCTGATACATTTGTAATACATGTACTGCAATGTAAAATTTTGCCAAACTGGTAAAATTGTTTGTAGATTTCAGGTCTAGAGCCCATAGTACACATTAAGTGCTACGGTAATAAAGGGTGGATTCAGTTCCAACTAATTTAACAGGTCGTATTTTTCACAGAAACAAATGCGAAAATCAGAACAAAGCAAAAAAAAAATCAAACTTATTACATATATCCGGTAGACACATGTATATATTCATTTCATATATAAGAATCTCTTTACAGCAAATACATTTCAAAGTTTGTTACATGTTCTAAAAATAACTTGTGTTACCATAAGTCCTTTACTTTCATCTGTAACCCTAATTAAACCTACATGGCTGTATACTTCACGATAATAAAGAAGTGACACGTACAATGTACAGTTATAATGATGACAATTAACAGGGAGCCACTTAGGTATAACAGGCAATCGAAAAACAACATGAACATCTCTGTTAAACTAACCAGAGCTACAGGTACAGTAATTGTGATGAAGCTATATATAATTAATTACAATATGCCATAAACCATAAACCATACTACATACCAAGACTTATTAAGCTGTTTATTAATAACCAAAGCTACAGGTACAGTAATTGTGATGAAGCTATATATGATTAATTACAATATGCCATAAACCATAAACCATTATACTACATACCAAGACTTATTAAGCTGTTTATTAATATCACAATAGTCGTACGTAACATTACAAGTAATTACACTGGGTGGTAGCTACTTATAACTCATTCACCCCTGAAGACACATTTGAACCCTTCCAAATCAAAGAGTGGAATAGTTCATTATGAAGTTTCAAGGGTGAATGAGTTAAGGATCCTGGTCCCACTTAAAGGAACTCACTAGAGAATGCCACTGTAGTTTCTCCATACATAGAGTAACCTCCCATTGATTGATTAGTCTAGTCTAACATATCATTTTTAGTGGATTTTGGGCTATATATATGTTACTTCAGAGGAACATATTCTTCAGTTGGTTAGAGTTACTTTACATATTGTAATCAGCGGGTCCAGGGTACAAATCTTTGTCTGGATGTTGCATTTTTCACTTTCAGAACACTGTTGTTGAGTGTTTTTTTTATTTTTATTTTTATTTTATCCTTACATATTTTTCCTAAATACAAGATATCGTGTTCTTTTCAGCAATGCTTTATTACAGCTATTGACATGGGAGTAAACAACTCTCTTACTAATAGGTACAGTTTTTGGCAATGGTACAGGGATCCTTAATTATAACATGCTACCACTATACTACTGTACTACGCAGTACTTAGTGTCTATTTATAGTAAACAGTTGATGATAACAATATCGTGTTACATTATAATTATATATATAATGCTTGACATATTCATATTCTAGCCTAGGGGTTTTCCTGGATATCTCAAGGATTACTGAGAAATGGCATATCTCCAACTATATAATTCATATCTTTATTTTTCTCTTCCTTTTAAAAGGTGTAAGGTTTTCTAAAAATCTTTTCTATTACAAATTTCGCGCCAAGATCTTGTCTACTCTATGCAAAATCATGAAAAATCATGACCCTTGAACCCTGGAACACACAATGTCCGACTTATACTCATAATTTGACCTTTGTATAAAGTTTGACGAAAATCTGTGAAAGAATGGAGTTGCTCCCTTGGAACATTGAATCGGGACTCGACGGGACGCAACGGACATAGCCAACACTATATGACCCCACCCCACCCCACCCCACCCCATTTTATGGCGGAGGCATACAAATACTTTGCTAAAGGAAAAATGATGAGAAAATCAAGAGAGATATATTTAACTTAAGAAACATATTAGTTGTGATAATTCAACACTTATATTTCTAATTAGACCAAACGTGTAATCTTTATGTCTTTTGTATCTTAGATAGCAACAGGCTCAGTACTCCTTTCTGCAATATATTTGTAATGTGAGATGGTTCCCACTATAAGTTATGTTTATTATCGTGAAGGCCATGTCAGACTCTGACTCATGTTAGGCTTAAAAGAGGTTCAGTTCTGGTAAATTAACACTTCCTCATCAAATAATCTTGAGGCCCAAAATTCAAAACTGTAGAAAACTTGCATTTTAAACTAAATGCAAGTTTCACCAGAAGTCAACTCGCTTCAAAGGATACTAAAATGGTTAAGTTTTCATCTTCTGGCTTTAATTTATATAAATTCATCCAGTGTCAAGATGAAATTTGTCCACACATACTTACTGGTACAACATATTTTTGTTCTATGTCTATAAATATTGCTTTGCCCTATTACTCAAGGGTGAAAATAAATTAGTCGAAAACATTCTGTTTTATAGTACAAAATGTTAATAAAAACAAGCATCTGTTTTGACGCAATTCTATAAGTAAACTGCAATTAATGGTAGAGTTTTCCTCAATCAGCCACGAAATACCCAATGAAATTATAAAGGCTATGAAAATTTCAAAATTATTATTCACAACTTGATATATCAATGGCAAAATGAGTACATGTACTGAAACAGGTATGCGGAAAATGTTCATTTTAAAATGAATATGCATTATTTCTATAAACATTTAAACTGCGCATGCATCAACCATAATTTTTATTAATCTTTATTTAAAAGAATTGTGAAAATCACCGCACTTTAAAACATTCTAAAACAATTTTCATGCAAGTGATATGACAAACCAATTGTGAATTAAGAGTCATTCTATAAATACTTGTCACGACCCAATCACCCATTGGTGACGTATACAAAGAGCTGCTTCCTCATGTACAGTGGGTTATGTCACTTCCTCCCCAATATGTACCAATTGTCTACCAGAATTGTGTACAATGTATAATTACTTTGTCTGTTAGATCAAGGAAGCATTTACTTCTGCCAGCAGACAGAGGGGTCATCTGATGGTCAACATATGTAATGGATCTACTTACTTCTAATTACTGTGTGGTACAATGCACTGACCATCGGTCAGTTGCTGAGCCAGCTGCATACTCACATTACCCATGTAGGAACAAGAAACAATCAAACAGTGACAGGACCTGTATTACTTATATACTAAACTGACCTCTGACAGGTACTAAAATAATAACCAGCTGGTACATAGACTGCACTGAAGCCACACTGACCCGGGTCATGATTTTTACGATTTAAATACCTTTATATAAGCACAGGTAATTAATTAACTTATGACCTTTTGCAAAATATGCAATATTAAACCTGTCCTAAAACTTGTGCTATCTACACACTAATCTGACATATATAATGACCTATGCTAACTAATCATTAACTGATTCACCCCTGAAGACACATCTTAACTCTTCCACTTCAAAGGTTGGAATAGTTCATTATAAAATTTCAGGGGTGAATGAGTCAAATAACATATATACATGGCTGTATTAACTCCTGCCATATAACCTTGTTTATTACTTGAGCTAATTACAACACACAAACATCATTCATAATCTTTGCTGAATCACTTTAACATAGTCTATTACCTGTGCTAACCACCCTCTGACTTAATGTCTGTGATAAATCATAAACTAACTTGACCTTTTTCTTTGATGCTAACCACAAATTAATCTGACTTATGACTTGTGATCACGATCGCGCAATAAATTTACCTTTTATAACTACCTGGATTAAATCTAGCAACCGCATATCAACTTGACCTTTCACCTGTCCTAACTACACACTAACTTGTTAGCTAATCTAGATCACACTAACCTTTCCTTGCAAGGACGCCAGCACTGTTGATTAGACCATCATTATTGCTGGCAGCTATTTCCCCATCCTTCACAAGTTCATTCCACAGCTGACTGAGGCCATCACGCTGAAACGCCGCCTGAAATGAAATAATTAAAATGATTAAGATTGTTATATAACATAAAAAGTCCATTTAATTTAATCAAATGTACAAAAAAAATACTTTAATTATATCAATATTACTCTAGGTGTGACGATTTTACATAATTAGTGATAATAATTTTTACAAAAGTGTGATTATCTCATAATGAATAATACCGCAAATTTTACAAATGTAAAACAAAGTTTTGATACTGAAGAACACAACATTACAATAGTGTAAGATCAACACTGTATGGAGTTCTAAAAAGTTCATCTGATAATTAAACATGGTTCTTCTTACTTCAAGTCTCCATTCATAAAACTCATGCACAGTTATAAGTCTGGAATCATAAGTTATGATATATTAAATGATTAAGTTGCTGTTCCAGACAGGTAATGATGATTTATGCGACTATATCAGAATCGTGCGCTCCACAAGAGTTCTATTTTATGATTACCACCCTTATGCCACTCCCTCACAACATGTATCCCTCCCTCACAACATGTATCCCTCCCTTATCAACTATCACAAATCTCTGTTACACAGTTAGATATCTCTTTGTTCCTATATGCAGTGAAAGTGATTCCTCCCCTACACCCTCAGCCCACCTTCACACCTACCCCAGCCTCAGCATCCCCTTTTGGACTCAATCATTTACATGTAACATCTAAATCATATACTTACCCCCGGGCCATACAAAATCCCCCCTAAGCTTAAATCCCAGAATCTCTGTGTGTTCTCAATAGAGTAGTTTACCTAACTGAGCAATTTTTTTGTAAACAAGCATGGCTTATTTACAACTGACTGAGAAGGCGATAACAGCCACACACTGGTACGCCAGACGCTGAAGCTTTATCGTAGAGAACATCCTTTGAGAGTGAAATTATCATATAGCACTCTCTCTGCTAAGTTGGTACAAGTACATATAAATATACATACATGCACAGTATGTAGTCCTATAAATCTGTTTAAAATCTGATATAATACAGAACATAAAAACAGCTTTCCTTTTTAAAAAAACAAACTTTGAATCAAATATAGTGGTCAGGCATTTTTATTTGGTTTTCTTTTTAGACTTTTTAGCTGTTCCAAAGACTTTTTTTCAAAAATGTTCTCCTTGTTTAAAATATAACCTTGTCCAGTTTAAAATGTAACCTGGTGGCCTGGTGGCGCAGTGGATAGTCTTTCACGGAGGTGGCTGGGGTTCGATTCCCCGATCGAACATGAAAAGGTATAGGGTCACCTGCCCAACCACAAGGGTTTTTTCCAGGTACTCTGGTTTCCCCCACATTAAGACCCCCGCTCACTAAAATCCGGGCCAACACGAGTGATTTACATAAGTTGTAAAAAGTTGTTTCATTATTATTGTAAAATTAAATAAAGTTTATATCAACTTCCTGTAGTCCCACAAATTAAATCTAACTGCCTTTAACCTTGAAGTGTAATACTGATGTTTGGTTTTAGCACAGGTATTTGGTTATTTATTGCTCTTATCTCGGGATCCTGTCAGTTGCATACATACATGTGTATGTAGTGATGATATACAGTATATATAAGGGGAGAACAGTGGCTGCTGTAATCACCACATTCCTCATCCTGTCACACTCCAGCTTCTATACAGTGATATCTCACCTTTACACTTACACGTACTAAGTTCTCTTATAATATGACTAGTAACAGTACTAGTCCTCAAAATATTTAACAGGATTAAAGACAAATATAATAAAACATGTTAGTGCAGTATGAATATTTGTCTGCAATCCTGATCCAATTTTTAGGACTACAACTATAAACAGAAACCAGTTAACACTTATTTCTCCTACCCCTCACAGACATGTCTCCCGTGTTAGCCAGGAAAGATAAGCTTGTCATCCCCTAGGGGGAGATGGCCTCGTGCCGATTAGCACATGTTCAATTGTGACGTCATCGGTAATTGTGACGTCATCAAAAGTGAATGACGATATACATACTCCACATGTGTTTTTGTTTACAAACATGGCAGACTACTGTCGGTGGAACTGTGACTGAAATAATAGGATGGGAGAAAAATAATCATTCCCTACCTTGAGGGTGTGACAGAGAAATCTTCAACCCTCGGAGTGATGTTTTTGGTTGTCAAACCCTCGACAGAGCCTCGGGTTAGACAACCAAACAAGAGGCCCATGGGCCTTAACGGTCACCTGATATATTTATACAGAGAGTTGATTTTTGTTTTTAACATGAACAGAAATATTATTCAAAGTGACAAAAAACAATAAAACCACCTTATTCAATATCTAGCATGCAGATTTAAGACTGAAAAGTATTTGAAACTAGCACCTCTGATTCTAAACAAGGAAAATGAAGAAATTTTATTTTAGCACACAGACTCCATTGGGCCCCACCCTACAGCCCTTGGGGGTAGGGATGGCTCAAAATTTACAAAGTATCAAACTGTCAACTTAGGGTTATAATTCCAATCAAGTTATCAACATGTAATATTCAAAGTATCATTTGCCATTATAAACCATAACAAATTTTGCCCCCCCCCCTCCTTCCCCAGGGGGAAACGTGAGACCCCAGGGTCATGAAATTCACAATTTTGGTAAAGCACCTTAAGACCCTTCCATCTATGAAGAGTATTTGATTCTACCATATCTGGGTCTTGAGAAGAAGATTTTTGAAATTTCAGTCAATTCAATCCTTTTTGGCCCCACCCATCAGCCCCGGGGGGTTAGTCAGGGCTGATATGTGCATATCATCAAACTGCTATCCAATACTGATAATTCTAACCCAAATTGAATTACCTCCAATGGCAATTAAACAAATGTTAGTCCAAAATGTGATTTCCCTATGTAAACAATAGTAAAGTTTAGCCCTCCCCACGGGGAAACGTGAGACCCCAGGGTCTTGAAATTCGCAAATTTGGTAAAGCACCTTAAGACCCTTCCATCTATGAAGAGTATTTGATTCTACCATATCTGGGTATTGAGAAGAAGATTTTTGAAATTTCAGTCAATTCAATCCTTTTTGGCCCCACCCATCAGCCCCGGGGGGTCGGTCAGGGCTGATATGTGCATACCATCAAACTGCTATCCAATACTGATAATGCTAATCTAAATTGAATTACTTCCAATGGCAATTAAACAAATGTTAGTCCAAAATGTGATTTCCCTATGTAAACTATAGTAAAGTTTACCCCCTCCCCAGGGGGAAACGGGAGACCCCAGGGTCAAGAAATTCACAATTTTAGTAAAGCACCTTAATACTCTAATATCTATGAAGAGTATTTGATTCTACCATATCTTGATATTGAGAAGAAGATTTTTGAAATTTTTGTCAATTTTACCCTCTTTGGCCTCGCCCTTCAGGCGGCTGGGTACCATATAATTCACAATTTTAGTTGACCTTTGGCCATGGAAGGTTTCTGCAAAATTTCATTGAAATTGGTTCAGAGGTTTTGGAGAAGAAGTCGAAAATGTAAATTGTTTACGGATGCACGACAGACAATGCCAGACAAAAGGTGATCGCAATAGGTCACTTGAGACTTTGTCTCAGGTGACCTAAAAACATCACCCCTCGGGTTGGAGATTTCTCTGTCACACCCTCAAGGTAGGGGAAGATTCTATTAATCTTTTATTGATTTTGAACAACTGTATTGTATTAATGTCACGATCGTGATCATCATTCCGGAGTAACAGTCTTTTGAATCACAGCTGAGGTTAGTAGGTTTCCATCATGGCTATAAACAGAGCAAATGTAAATATTAATGATTATAGGAAAAGGATTGCTTAGTCACCATTCTTTTATTACTCTCAAAATCACAACCAGTGATCTTTTCCAATTAAAGGTCCCGTACAGAGATCTTCTCCAACAGAAGGACCCATACAGCAATCCTCACAAACACATGCATGGTCCAATACATATATATATATACATCAATCCTCACAAACAAAATGTCTCATACATTGATCATCATCAATGCAAAGAGTCAATATGTCCATACAGTGATCTTCACAAACACAAAGTCCCATACAGTGATCTTCATCAAACACAAAGTCTCATACAGTGATCTTCATCAAACACAAAGTCCCATTCAGTGATCTTCATCAAACACAAGGTCCAATACAGTGATCTTCATCAAACACAAATTCCCAAACAGTGATCTTCATCAAACACAAATTCCCAACCAGTGATCTTCATCAAACACAAAGTCCCATACAGTGATCCTCACACACACAAGGTCCAATACAGTGATCCTCATCAAACACAAAGTCCCATACAGTAATCTTCATCAAACACAAAGTCCTATACAGTGATCTTCATCAAACACAAAGTCCCATACAGTGATCCTCACAAACACAAAGTCCCATACAGTGATATTCATCAAACACAAGGTCCAATACAGTAATCTTCATCTAACACAAGGTCCAATACAGTGTTCTTCATCAAACACAAAGTCCCATACAGTAATCTTAATCAAACACAAAGTCCCATACAGCGATCTTCATCAAACACAAAGTCCCATCCAGTGATCCTCCCAAACACAAAGTCCCATACAGTGATTCTCACTCCTCATCAAACACAAAGTCCCATACAGTAATCTTAATCAAACACAAAGTCCCATACAGCGATCTTCATCAAACACAAAGTCCCATCCAGTGATCCTCCCAAACACAAAGTCCCATACAGTGATCCTTATCAAACACAAAGTCCCATACAGTGATCTTCACAAACACAAAGTCCCATACAGTGATCCTCACACACACAAGGCCCAATACAGTGATCCTCATCAAACACAAAGTCCCCCACAGTAATCTTCATCAAACACAAAGTCCCATCCAGTGATCCTCCCAAACACAAAGTCCCATACAGTGATCCTCACACACACAAGGTCCAATACAGTGATTCTCATCAAACACAAAGTCCCATACAGTGACCCTCACACACACAAGGTCCAATAGAGTGATCCTCATCAAACACAAAGTCCCCCACAGTAATCTTCATCAAACACAAAG